AATTAGAATTGTCATAAAATTTTTGTGTAAGAAAATTTAATTAAATGAATATATAATTTATTTAAGAAATTGAAAGGTAAAAGCAAGGAAAAATGATAAGGGAATCCCCCAATCCCAAGAATTGTAGTACAATATAGGGATCAAACTCATAACCCTAATGTTCATTATAAAGTGAAATCCCTACCAATTACAGCATTATTACACCAAGCATAAAACATTACTTGATTCCTCTGGCCATGACGCTAAATTGATGTAGCTTAGCTAGCTTATAATCTATATAAGTAGAGATGTAGAGATATATAACAAATTCATTGAGCTTTAATTTGATATCGAGTTTGACAGAATTATCAATTTAATGTTGATCATATATATGATAAATCATCTAGTTTAATTCATATATATCAGGTCATATTCAGATACAACGTGATTAGCAGCTACTATCCACTAGACAACATCTAGCCATTTGACACCTTTACCCTTTGGAATATAGGAGGTAGATAGAGAGAATGATATGATGAGTAAAGTGACTGCCCCTTTCATCTTGCGCATTTGTCTACCAATCTAGCTACCTCACCTTCATCGTTTACCTTTTCTTTGTTGTTTACATCCCTTTCAATTTTAATACATATGTTTCATTTGCGTCATGCAAACGTTAGTTCAAAGGCATATTGTACGTATACTATTTGTTTGGACCAAGTGTTAGCCAACCATTAACAATATAATACCACCAAAATGGTCCCAATTTATATTAGCCAAGTATATAATTGGCCAAGTATATCATATTCTTTTCTAAAATGACTCGTCCATGCGTTCACTTCACGTGGTGAACGGGTTAGTTACACAATTAGGTCAAGTGTTCTCTTTGATCAATGAGTCATCACTGTATGACTCTGGACTTAACCTAAATAGTCAAAAACCAATAATTTGCGAGCTTGAAATAAATTTAACACAACTGTACTCAACCAATTAAATTAAACAGGGAGTTCTACTAACAAGCAAAACAATCAACGTCTAAGCCAAAGAACTATTGTTATCAATTAGTCAAAAGTACATCATACATTTTCTTCCAAAATGACAACATAGGGTCTGTTTACTTCACTTTAATTTCAGTTCAGTTCAACTTTAATCAGTTCAGTTCAGATCGATTAACTCCTAATTTCCTTCTCTTATAAAATATTCATTTCCACTCAATTCAGTTCAGTTCAGCTCCAATCAGTTCAGTTTAGTAAACATGAACAGACCCATAAGCTCACAAGTAACAAGTTAATAACCAACTAACCATCTTTATAAGGTGGCAAATTGCTTCATTTTACATATGACATGCATGTGAATGTTTGACCAATTTCACATTTTTTTTGAGTTTGAGGTTGGGAGAGAATTGTTGGACTATATTTCACGTGGGCTGGTCAAGTAGGCCCGATTGATCTTCTTGACTTGTTATGCAACATAAGACTCCGTAAGCCAACAACATATCGACAATTACTTTAAGCATTTGGATTGCTTAAAATTGATCGATCATTTCATTATAATTTTCATATAAAAGCCGAAATTTGCGTTTGTCCTTTTCATCCAATTATACCAAGGCTCTGTCATGCATGGATTATAATCTATGGATTATCCTACCCGTACAATAATTATTGTGGATTTTTTTTTTATTAAACTATATAAACCTTAATTTGACCATTATTTTTTCATTATTGATTTATTTGAAATTTTATCATGTGGTTTTAGTTAGATTCTTATTAATGTGTCAATTTTTCATAATATTTATTAACAAATACTTAATAATACAAGATACGAAGTATTTAAAATGGTCAAAGATCCATATTGAAAATTATGAAAAACAAATGTTGTAATAGTAATATAACGGAAATGTTGGGTTTCAAAAAAATATAACGGAAGTGTTCATAGACTTTTGTTATCACCCACGAGCCAAGTGATATTATTCGGTAGACATAGACAATTTTTATGAGGTGTAAACTTCCTGATCAAAAGACTATACGCTTTTTATGTAATATCTCGTTGTAAAATCATTGCCTGCTATTCTTAAGTCATGATCATTTTTAGGCTAAAAAATCCGATATGGTCGAGAAAATTAATGAGCCTCTTGTACTAATGTCTTTACTCATTAGTGATAACCCTACTACTACATACTTGTCTTGCCACTGATGTCATTAGCATTTTCTCCTTGTCCTTTCATAACAATCTTGTCTTTTAATAATTAAACATTATTATAGACATTAGAAAATATGTAACAAACATGTATATTTATTAACAAATTTTATCAAAAAAAAAAGGAAGTCTTGATGAATATCTTTTCTCTTAGCTTGCTTTCCTTAGGTCTAGTCTGTATGTATGAAATAAATACAACTCTTTACATCTTTATAGGTGGCAATGGCAGGCTGTATACCGCGTTACAGATAAGATTATGAAACCACATTAATATTTCGTGTCTTCCACTTTATCCAAAACTATATATTATAAATAATTTAATTAAACATACAAATTAATTTAAATCAAAGTCTTAGCTTGTTATATAAAGGTATGCATGCAATAATATTAATGATTATGAACATAACAAACAAATTCAAAGCAATCAAATAAAAACAAGCGTGTGTAAATCAATCAAAAAGCATCTTCAATCTTTCTAACCACCCAATCATTAGCAACTTAATAAACTATCTTCATTTAATCATTTATTTATTTATGTGCCTAACTTTTATTTGTCACCTTTTTACATGAGATATAATACTAAAATCCAATTTTTATATATTTGTCAGAGATTAAATATATATATTATTATAATTTTAATTGGGTAAAGTCATTAAATTTGGTCATCTCCCATAAATTTTATTATATGTACTTTAATTTACTTTATTTTATGAGGAGATTTGTTGGTAAGGTAGATACTTGATTCAAGTTCTTTGTATCTTTCCAAATCTATGATATACACTTGTCAACTTTGTTGTTAATAATGCTAAATAAACTTTGGATTAGGCTAATTTGAAGGTTTAGTTTATGTTATGGTGGTTGTCCTAGAGATTATAAATGTCTCCGACAAAATGAGGAAAAGGAGGATGAAGACAAGTTCAATATGGTACAATAATTTACCAAGAATAAGGTAATTAAGAGTTCAATGTGATGTTATTAGAGTGACTTTGCTTCATCCCTAATTTACCAAGTATAAGCTAGTAAATTGTTTCACATTATTCCAAGAAAGTATAAATTAATCATGTAAAAGTATATGAGTAGTAATTAAGTTAATATTTTTTATAATTTACATAGCTTTAAAACAAATCTTAAACTATAACGTACATAATCATTGTTTTTTTTTTAAATAATGACAAAGAGTCGGCACTGATGAACTAGTACAGACAATTCATCTTACAAAATTATTATGGGGCAGAGTGAGTATAAGTAATTAACCACCTACATGCTCCACTCCCTTCCCCACTCTCAAATGCTAGCAAGCTATGTAAATAGCATCATGATTCATAAATTAACATAAGTAATTAAGAATGAAGTCAATTTCTTAAACTTTTCACTTAATACATAAATTAACATCAAAATTCCCTGAAATTCCGGGACTTTATCATTTTATGAAAGTAGGCAAGCAAACTGATACTCAGTAATAAGTCAGTAGCTTATCGTTAGTTAAGTGAGTGTTAATCAAGTATATGAAAATCATTTTGATGACAATGATGCATATGTTTCGTTATAATAAACTAAAATTACATTCATTGGGTAGATCCTTTCATTTGTATGACAAAAATACACTATTACTTCGTATATATCTTTATTTATAAGAAAAGGCTACACATACAATGTTTGTATATGGTGGCCCACATATAACCATTGTTGGCAGCATTTGATTAGTTTGTATTTTGGGGCCTACCTTCCCTATATTGCTACCCCTATTTTTTTTTTCCCTCTTATTATTTTCCTGCCTTTTGACGTGGCATATATACAATAGTATTGTAAGTGGGCTATCACATACAACCATAGTATGTGTAGCATCACTCTTATAGGAAAAGCGGCCTAAATCATCTATCAAAGACTTAAGTATTTGAATTTTCTAATCATGGGAAGAATAAATGAATAACGTATTTTTTTGTAAATAGAGATCAAGTAAAAGTAATGTATATAGTCATAAAGTTAAAAGATTGAGTTATACCATATATATATTACATGATGTCAATTACACATACATGTATGCCTAATATGCAAGTGATACTCATGTTATACTTTACACATGTATCATTATTACTCATTTCATACACATGCATGCATTTCCCATTTTGACGATGTCTTCATTATTCTTTTATGTTTGTCCCATTTAGAATATTCCTTTTGAAAAGAATGAAAGTTTTATCTAAATATTTGTCTCAATGTCTTGTATCATAGTAACGCCTCAAAACAATGTGTAGCAGGAATACAAATGTTTACGACTACACGTACTGAAATATAAATGAAACTACATTTTACCATGATAAATTATTTTATTTTTCAAACATGAATATTCTGTCAAAACAACTTTTAAAAAAAATGCGTAGCTACCGTATAAATGTTTACATTGAAAACTATGTACTATCTCCGATCCGTTACATATTAGTCGAAACTTTGGGGTAATATTTATGAGACATAAAATATTTCAAAGTTACAATTAATATGTAACAGAGGTGAGGTAAAAAAAAAGAAAAACGGATGGGCTAGATAATAGTATTACATACATAAATTTACTAAACAATAAGATGTATAAATGTAGTTGCTCATCAAACATATTGTAACATATGCTATTGATTTTAGAAAGCTAACTTGTTGGAATGGAGCCCATATATTAAGGTTTTTGCCTACCGTTTATCACCAAATCAACTTATGTTTTTCCTTGTCCCTACTTATTAGACAAATCCCCAAAAATAGTATTGGAGTTGTGGTTTCAAATTTTTTGGGTTGTCAACAACTTACTAATATTTTTTAAAAAAATAAATAAATATAAACAAACAAACAACAAAATTACCAAAAAGGATTATATTCATATCATACAAATTAATGGTAACAACAATTACATTGCCAACAACAATTTGGCATTTGGCAAACGCAAATAAAAATTTAATGTCAAGTTTAACCATAATTTCACCATTCACCCATAATTGTTTTAATTCACATTTTTTCCCCTATATACGTGTACAAGAAGTACATATATATAGTACTATATATGTTAATAATTAGGGTGAGAAAATTTTACAAACTCTCTAAAAAAATAAAATAAAAAGAGAGAATAATTTTTTTAAAAAAAAAAAACAATTTAATTACCTCCAAAAAAAATTGAAATAAAAAAACATTAATTAATTAATTAATCAATTAATGAACTTTCATGAAAAATTATTAGCAAGCATAAAAGTCCACAAGCTCATTCAAAGACTCAGGTTGAGGGTCAGCATTATCAAGCATCCATAGCAAATGCTCAAACAACACCACCTCACACCCTACTGATATCTCCTCGGCCCCGCCGCCACCGGATGATCGTTCTACGAGCTCTCGAAAAAGCGGGTGTTCGAGGACTTCCGAGGTGACCATGTATCTCCTCCTAGACTTTCCTACGTAAACCGGACAAAGATTACTTGTGGAGGAAGGTTCCGGGGACGAGTCGTCGTAGGATATGTTATTGTACTTTGTAGCAACAATTGATGAGGATGAAGTTGAGTCTCTTCTGCTTAAACTTGTTTGATGAATATGATCATTTTCGCGGTGGTTGAATGATGTTCTTCCCATTGATTGCATTTTCTTGAGTAATTTTCCAAGTTTTCCTGCTTTTGTCATAATGTTTGGGTGTTTTGAGACAAATTATGTAGGAGAAAAAATATGAGAAGAACAAAATATAAATAATTTGGTTTATTTAATGGAGTTTTGGAGAATATTATTGAGGAGAAGTTGAGGAAGAATTGAGGGAGAATTTTGGGTTATTTATAAAAAGTAAGGTAGGAGTTTGGTAAGGAAGAAAAAATATTTTATTAATTTTTTGTGGGGCAAGGGATTTTATTTTATTTAATATTGTAGGAAATAATAATTAGTATAGTACCTAATTAGTAATTAGTAATTTATGGATTAGTAAACAAGTAATATAGTGGCTTTATGTCAAGTAGATTTTTCTTTATTTTAAGAAGTGGGTAGAGGAGGATAGCAAAAAAAGAAGGGGGGCCCTTAATTTGTAGGACTTTTTTTTTAAAAAAAAAAAATCATAATTTTTCTTTATTTTTTTATTTTTTTGGAGGACAATTTGTGATTGGTTGGAAACCAACAACGGTTTTGGACGTTTCGGAGCGTATTAGGCCCTTTTAGTAATATATTTTAATTGTTTGATTAAGTGCTAATTAATTTTTTGGTTGGATGGTTAAGGGGGTGCTTGATAGTGATCATTGTCCTTTAGAAAGATAGGAAGAGTTTTAGCTATTAAATTTGGACGGTGTTTATTTTATATTTTAATTAATTTAGATTATCTTAAAGTTGATTAAATGATTTAGAGGTGCTTAAATTCAAATCTAAAGAGTTGATGATCCAACGAACTGTCTAGTACCAATTAAGTGTTACTAATGGTAAGTTATGGAGTAAAATTTAGGTTTTTGACTACTTGATTTTAAAGTAACCTTGAGTACTATACTACTAATAACATATATAAAGTCAAATTCCTAAAGTTTTTAATTTAAGTAATGATAAATGGTCAAAATAAAGTTGTAATAATGCAAAAATCAAAGTGTATATTAAGAACTTTGAGAAACAAAAGTAAGTAAATCACCCAAACATAAATTAGGATTGTTAATATATACTTGAATAATAAAAGTTGATAATATCCTCTCAATTTTTATTTTTTTTAAAAAGGTTGATAATGAAAGAATATTGGTTCTTTGTAAGTCATACATGCACTTTACCTGACATTAAGGTTTTAATTTGTCAATGGACGTGTTTTCAAAGGTTACGTTGTGACAAGAGGATTGTACATCATGCGTCAAAGTCACAAGGAGCGTTTTGGTCAAGGAGCGTTTGATACTTCAATTCTATATTTTTTTGTCCAACGGCTCCTCAATTTGGAATACACTTGATTGATTCAAACAAATTATTATACAATATAATTCTCATAATCAAGTTAAATTCTATAAAAAAAAAATTAAAAGAAAAAAATTATCATTTCATCATTCTGATAATCAAGTAGAGGCAGATATGAGCAAGTAGAGCTACAAACAACCCAAAATGAATTATGTTTGTTCAAACTTTATTTAATAAGAAATACAAAGTATTAATGTTTGAGCTACCTTATTTTGTTTGACCTTGGCTCATGCTTTGTTCAACCTTAGTTTATGACCAAATTAATTAGCTTAATTGTTTGTAAATAGATTTTGATGAGTGCATGTGAGCTTGAACAAGTTTAAATTAAGCAATTATATAAACAAATTTTGAGTTATTTTTTAACAAAAATAGGTTTTCCCTTAAAATTGTTACGCATTCACTTAATTTAATTTTAAATCAACTTTTTGTCAAACTAACTTAATTGAACAGGTTTGTTCGTGGATAACAATGTTAAGACTTTTGTTAAATCTTATTTTCCAACTTAAATTAGTTAACAAACTATATGGACCGGGGTTTGATCAAATTTTAACTTAATATGATTGTGAGTAGTTCATGAACTTAGCTAGCTATAGTTGTAATTTGTAAGTCATTCAACTTTTCTAGGCTGACCATGAATATAAATTGGTTGTTTGCAGCTCATACATGCACTTCCCTCACTTTAAGCTAAGTGTATTTTTTTTCTTTTACGTGCTCTGTGCTCCCACTTCAAGGTTATGCACGCAAGAGGGTTGTACATCATGCATCATTCAAAGTCTACGGAGCGTTAGATACTTCTACAATCTAACTAACTTGTATTTTATAAGAGGAACTTTTTGTACCACATCTTTTGAGTAGTATGTGCTGTCTACTTTTGTAATGCAAGTATGTATTTTTATGCACCTTTGATGTATTATCTATTGAAAGTTTAGGTCAATTACTACCACACATATTTAGTTGTTTTACTCTTTTTATATGCTAGAATTTTACCTTGGTGTAAAGAAAATTACAAAAGATAGTAAGATGGATGGAATTTGATCCTAAATCTTACAGTACATACTATTTAGGATTTTAACCAACTAATTACGACATATGACATCTACTATAATCTCACTAGATTTATGTATCTAAAAAACATGATGAAGTAATGTTTTAATAACTTGTGAACATAGCATAATAGAAAGAATCCAACAACATTGTACAAGTCCAACATAGTTTCAATCTAAAACTAGCTAATTCCCGGTAGTTGGATTGGCTTACTAGATTTATGTGTTGGTTATGGTTATGGTTATTCTCCATTTTAATCTTCAATAATATACACGGGACAACTTACAACAGGTTCTTTTATTACTCACCTCCTTAAATTTAGACTAAATAAATTCATTTTTTTCCGCAATATGCAATGAAAAAGGTTGTAATTTTCTCATTGGATTGGACTTTCAACATGAGGTCATCAAATTTACCCATGAACCCATCCTTTCTATGCATGCATGTAATCAAAAGTTGTTCAAAACCAAACTTGGTTAATGGTTAAAGAATATGATAGCCTTATAGGGTAGTTAAGGTTCAAGTCGATCAAAAAGGCTTTCAGTGGACAAAATTTAAAGGTAAGACCAAATTTAAATGATGGTCCACTAATTTTGGAAAAGAAAATGGTTATGATAAAAAGTTTACATGGTATATACTTCGGTATAATTTTTATCTTAATAGTTGTGCTCACTTTTATCTCTCTTTTTATCTTGCCAGTTATTAGTATGCCTACTATCGGGATTGATGCTGTAAGTCACAACTACAAAATGATCTCCAACATCCTCATGAAAACCTTTTTTAAATTAATCCCAAATATTAAGAACCTCTAGGTTTTGTGTTATATGATTGCTAGTAATGTTTACTACACTCATTCAATCCACCAATAAATTATAAAATGCTTTTAAATATAAGATCGTGTTGTTAAAATTATCATATCATCTTATAATTTAAAGTAATCACCTATAAGATGATAACCCTATCTTAATCAATAAACAAAGTAACATCAATTGGAACAAAGTATAATCTAACTATAATATTAACTATATTAATATAATTAATTGTAATGACAAAGCTAAGGTCAATACTAAAATAACGTATGCTTATGGTTGGGGACGAAGTCATGTATCAAATCTTCATGGTGTTTAAGCAGGCCACAGTCGCCATCAACGTCTTTTTGCTTGAATAATATATAAAATAAATTAATACGAAGTATTAAATTATATTTTTAATCAAATAGGCCGAATAATATTATTTTTTGATAAAATTCCCTTAATTGGTTTAACTTTCATTTTCAATAAAATCCATTTTTTTCACATGGAAAATTGTTGGGTGAAAGTGATTGGCATGTGCAAAGACGTCCAAGGTTTTACTAATTTCAATTATGCGTCATTGATTTTGTCCTCTAATTGTATTTTATAAGTTTATTAACTGTCAAAATTCTAGTTATAGATTGAGTTTTGACCATATTTATAATAAAATACTTGTAATTATATCATCATGTACCAATCAAAAGTGTAAATAACTAATACATGTTGTAGTGACCACAAAGTGTCTTGTGCTACGTAAGTGCGGCTATATATATGTACTTTTCGTTACATTTTATGAATATATTTTTAGAAAAATGAGTGGTCAAGGATCAATTTTACAAGTGTATGTGGAAGCACAATAGTAGCTAAAACTTGGTATTGTGAATTTGTGATATCAATAAACATTTATTTTGACTAAATTAATTAAAAGGGAAAGAAATGTAAGCGATCTCCTACGTGATATATTCATATACACCACACATTCAAATGATGGTTTGACAATGTACATAATTAACACGTCTTATAAAACGTTGCAATTACTACTATCGATACATTTAGCTACGGTAGCATATATAATTAGCATCATTAAACTCATTGTGGATAACGGTAAGCAACTAACATTTTTTACATATATACATGGTTAGTATTGTCCACTGAATCTGGCACCTCATCAACTAATAGTACATTTGTCACATTATTAAAAAACTACGTAAGAAATTTGTGAATGATATACATATATATATACATCAAAACACCGCTCTTTAATTAAATATATTTTGACTAAATAAATATTATGTAACACACTAATAAATTTGTTTTAGACTAATTTGCAAACTTGACTATGTTCTAAAATAATATCAATATTGACCTAATTCGAGTTCTCGGCATAACTTGACTTGATTCTAATAAGTTGAAACTCGGGAACTTGAGCTAGTCAAATTGAAAATCTTTCAAAACATGGCTTCTCTCATTTCTTGACTCGAGACATGTAACGAGTTGCATGTACTTGTGTGAATCATCAGTGAATCTTGTATTCATATTTTTTATACTTAAAGTTCTTCGAATAATTATTTAGTTTATTCACAATTTTTTCGCTTGAGCTTAAATATGCTCAGTTAACTTGAGGTGGGTATCGAGCTAATTAGAGCTAAATTAAGCTCACTCGAGTCGTCCTTTGACCAACTTGAATGAGCTCCGCTTGAGTAATTTGCAAATAGGTCGGCTAGAATATACGGAGTAATAAATAGGCCGGTTAGAATACTAAGTGCATGTTCTGACTGACTAAATTGAGCTGAATTGAACTGAACTGAACTTATTAATTTAAAGTTGAACTGAACTTGTTAAAGCTGAACTGAACTGAACTGAACTTATTAGAGCTGAACTGAACTGAATTGAACTTATTAGAGCTGAGCTGAACTGAACTGAATATTTTATAAGAGAAGGAAATTAGGAGCTGAACTGAACTTATTAGAGCTGAGCTGTACTGACCTGAAGTGAAGTGAACTGAACTTATTAGAGCTAAACTGAACTGAACTGAACTAAAAATAATCATATCAAAACAGACACTAAATATACATTGATAATTAGTTAGAAAAAACCTTTGCAATTGGCTGTCATTATTGTCCCTTTGTTAAAAAATCATCTCAACCAAAAGGTTAAGCTAATGGTTAAGGCCTAAAAATATAATTTTATAATCTGTTACACTTAAGCATAATATTTACTAATAGTATACCTAACTATTTGATTTATGATAACGACTTTTATTTTTCTATGAAAGACCCACAAGAAATATTCCTTGTTCAATCTCCGCCAAGTATATGTTAGAATTAGTCATGCCATTTAAACGGCATCAATTCTCTTTTGAGGACTACTATTGGGCCTTTACGCATTACGCCTTACCAAAATTCTCAAGTTTGGTTGCCAAAAACTTATTGTTTACCTCTAGTTAAGACTTAAGGAGCTTATATGAGTTATACACCACATTCCCACTATAAAAAGTGATCAACATAAAGGCATGATAAATTGAGAAAGCCTTTTGATAAACAAAATTCGTTTATGAGGTGGTAAATGGTAAATAAAACAATAAAAATGTCTAATTAATAATAATTATATGGGGTCCATATTTAATAAACAATTATTAACATATTTACAATTTTAGCAATTTTTAAAAAATATATAGTAAAGCGAAGGTTGAAATATATAGTGAGTTAGTGACACAAGTGTTGTATGATTATAAGATAAGAATCATAAGATATAGTATGAAAATGATGCCATGGTTTCGGGTTTTGGATATGATAAAAACCATGAGTCAATGAATGGTTTGGACGCATATTATGGCACATGGTATTTAACCCGTTTTAAACCAAACAGTACACATGGGTAAAGTGCGGCGCAGGTTTAATAGCAATGCAAGCACACTCACACTTACCTTTCAGATTTAAGGAAACACTACCTAGTTCAGGCCCATACTTCTGTGTACTCACTACTCAGCCATGTATTGGCAATTCATTTGTGTCCACTCATATTAACTTCATGAAATTATACTCTTTTCATTTCGAAATAATGGCTACAGGCCTATACCCTACAAGAGATAACATAATTAAGGGCATGTTCTCATACGTTTAAGTTAAGTTTAGTTCAGTTCAGTTCAGTTCAGCTCAATTCAGTTCAGTTCCTAATTTCCTTCTCTTATAAAATATTCGGTTCAGCTGATTTCAGTCTATTTGAACAAGCCCTTAGCTCTCTTCAGATTATTTTCAGTTCACTTCACATCGATCTAATAAGTTCAGTTCTTAATTTCCTTCTCTTATAAAATCTTCAGTTCAATTCAATTCAGTTCAGTTCTTAATTACCTTATCTCATAAAATATTCAGTTCGATCAGCTCAGCTCTAATAAGTTCAGTTCAGTTCAGCTCATTTCAGTCAATCAGATTAGGCCTTAAGTTTAAATAAATTAAAATAAGTTCATCATGTAAAATAAAACAAGTTTATATAAAATAAAAATGAATTCAAATTAAATAATTTCACACAAAATGAGATGAATCAAACAAAGTTTAAAAAATTAATGACAACGCTACTAGCGCTAGAGATACTCCATATAAACTTATACTGATACTAATCATTATTCTATTTCTAACTATTCCTCCTATTATTCATTCTAATGTGTTTGCAACTGTTGTACGTGTACTTAATTTTTACTCCCTCTATTCTATAATACACAATGTGTTGTTACATTTTACTTTCTCTTTGCTAGAATCAATCGTAACATATATGCATGTATTTTTATTTTTATTTTTATTTTATTTTTTTTTTGAAAGATATATGCATGTATATGGATATGGAGGATAATGATAAATTTGGTCGTATGTAGTATGTACCAGTAATACATACACTTATAGTAGAAGGTATATTGTCATAGCTAGCTTTAAAACTCATAATGTTTCAATTAAGTACATGCAGTAGTTATTAATTATTATGTGGTTCCATGCAATAATAAGATTTAATTTTCAGCTAATACTTGTACTATAAAAGATCAAATCTTAATAATAATAAAACGTACGATTTGTGATATAATTGCAACAATAATAATAAGGTAATGGACTGCAAAATTGCTTTGAGTATTGCCAACAAATGTAGCAGAGATGTTGTCGATGGAGATGATTACTCATGCACCGGATAGAATTCAGCTGTGACCTCCTCACATTCAACTTATGTCGGGTACCAAGCCAATCCTTGTATTCCTATAATTCATCTGTTTTAAAATAAATGTCACATTTTTTACTCGCATATGCTCTCTGTCATAAAACATTATGTACTACTGTATGAGAGAAGTTGTCACATTTTAGAAAATAATGCCCGGTACTACTCTATAACATAAATCATAGAATGAATGAATTTCGAGTACTGGATATTTATAGCAAAAAAACATTGAATTTAGGTTATTATCAAAGATAAAATTAAACATTGAATTTAATTTAGGGGTTATCATCAACATAAAACATCAATGCACGACTTTTTCCTATGCCTTAAGTAAAACCATATGAAGTATTATTAAAGTTCGTATGTATCATATGCCTTTTGTGACTCTCTCTATGCACAAAGCTACTTTTTTTTTTCTTAGACATATACTACGTAAAAGTTCTTAAATTAAAAAATTCCCCCAAACTTGGCTGTAATAGGTTCAAAGTATATGGTTCTTAACCTTTCTTCTTTCTTTTTATCCCTTTTCTTCTTTTGTTGAATTTATTAATTTTTTTAACCCTTTCTATAAATTTCTTTCGTCCTTTTAAAGAATAATAATTGGAAGTATATCAATTTGTTGGGACAAAAAAAGTTAAAGACCACATAAATATATTCTTGTGTGGCTAATAATTTAAAGTGCATGACCAACCCTACAGTATATCCCACTATTTTCTGTATGAAATTGATTTTACCCTGCAAAAGATTGTCAGAAATTTGAGAGCTTCCAAAAACATAAACAACAAAATTATGTTTGATCGTTTAGCGTAGACATTCAAGCATGACCTAATAGGCTAATTACAATATGCATACAGGCATCAAATTAATAAATTGGCTCCTCCGTAGAGGTAAGGTTTGTTTATGTGATTGGGGCCTATTCTGATTTACTGAAAACAACTGAACTGAACTGAATTAATTGGAACTGAACTGAACTGAATAAAGCTAAAATGAATTGTTTAAGGGAGAAGAAAACTAGAAATTGAAGTGAATTGAACTAATAAGAGTTGAACTGACTGAAACTAAGTTGAACAGAACAAGTCTAATTGGCGTAGAAAGAGTTAACATATCACTTATAATTTGACCTAGACGGGTCGGGATTGCATTGGCCAATTAACTCACATACTAGATCTAAATGTACCGTAATGATTGATAATTTATGTACCAAAGAATACGAATGTACGTAAAAGCAGTATATTAATAAATAGGAGCAATTAGAAAAGATATTGCGAATTTAACCATCATGTCATTCAAGTTCCTTAGTTTCATAAGGTCTAATTTATATGTGATCTCACTAAAAGAAAATTTTAATTTTTTTAAAAAAATCATGATTTAATATCAAAGATTCATATATATATACAAGATTTGCTATTGTGTTAGGGAACTCCCCTTATGATGGGTGATACCAAATCAACCAACAAGGTTGCATGTTACTCTTGTAGTGCAATAGTAATGTATTTATGCATTTTATTTTTGCAACAATATGGTTTTATATCTAAGCATTGAACAATATAATAGTAATATAGTATGTGATAGTTTTGGTCATTATACATTGCATGTGCCTCCCAAAATCAATGTCTCTAGCTTAGAAAGTTAGAATCTTTTGAACTATTGTCAAGATCTCAAAAGAGCTTTAAGCACATGCATTAGCTTCATTAATTGAATTATTATCTACCATCCAATGCCTTGATTTTTGTCATTATCTTGATTTAATCAAAGTTCCATGCATGAATAAACACAAGGATGGACCGCATTTTAATTGCAATTAATGATTTTGATCTCATTGATGCAATTCATATCATACTTTTGATTAAAGATCTTTTGAATATATATTCTCCACGACATTGTATTGTGGAGAATTACAAAATGTGACAATGTAGAAGCTAAGTAATTGTTAACTAGCTTAGTTTTCTTACTAAGATATTAAATTTTATGCTGAAAATTATTGGTAAATGCTACATATACAATTGTTGTATGTGGTCCTTACATACAACCTTACTTTGTCATGTTTTTATTGGCTATAATAATGAGCTATTGTTCCATTAGAATTCAATTTATATATGACTCCTAATTTTCTCCCTTTTTTTTTGATGATTTGTCAAATTTCTAGCGGTGTTGTATGTAGGGACAACATACAATGATTATATGTGTATCAGCTCTCGAGAACTGTCAAGCATATTTGTTTGATTAATTTGTAAAGTACTCAATTTGATGCAACTATTACAGTTAATTTTTTTTTTGGCTTTTATACATATATTTAACACAACTATTCGAGTTAATTTTGAAAATTGTAGGAAAAAGCTAAGGCAATTAAACTGCATGCGATTTGACGTTGTATACTTCTTATATGGATGACTTTCGTTATTATGAAATTGTACATTGATTAAATTCAAAATAAGTACAAGGAGCACATTAAACTTACCTTAAATATCCAATTATATATATAATCATAATCAAATAATATTTAGTATGGAGTAGTAAATAATCTAATCAACCATAGTATACTCTACTCTGTAATTATTACATTTGTCTTTTCAAGAGAGAGAGAATACAATCACTTACTACGTTCTTCAATCTTCAGGCTAGTTGTTCAATTTATTTTCCTTAATTTACTACTCCATAGAACTTAATATACTTTAATAATATAGACTAAAGAGTACTAGTTATCTAATACGAAGTATTAGCAATTACCTTCGTTTGTAATTATATATTAATTCTTATTATTATTGGCACATGAATTAAGAAAAAATAGGAGATTAATTAAATAAGTGGGTGTAAAAAAATAATACTAGTATACAATATACAAGTAGCTGACGTTTACTGTCATGGACAAAAATAGATGTTTAAAAATTTATAAATGGATTAAAGTGCAAAATGTATATAAAGATCAAATAGAAACAGAGTTAGAATATAATTCGTACTTAATTACACTTTAATTAAATTGATCATATCTATATTATTGATAAAAAAAATTAAAAATACTCAAATGATGTTGCACATATTAGTAATTCCAATAGAATAATTTTGTGCAAACAATCCATATATAAATTGGGCCCCAAAAAATGAAAATAATAGTACATCGTACCTTTTTTTTTTTTTTTTTTTTTTTTTTTTTTTTTTTTTTTTTTTTGTTGAGAGATGGCTTTAATGGGATTAATGAACAATAATCCTCATTTAAACCAAACCCATTCTAAAACTACTAAACCTTTTTTTAATTAAGGAGTAGTTCCTAAACTACCCCCACTAATACTATACACTCCCAATACAATTCACCAGGCCCAGAATCCAAAGCCCATGATTGCAAGCCCAAATTATAGGCCCATTAATAAAAAAATTCAATTTTTTTTCAACAAGCATAAAAATCCACAAGTTCATCCAAAGACTCAGGCATAGGATCAGCATTCTCTAACATCCATAACAAGTGCTCAAACATCACCACTTCACATCCTTCCACCGTAATCTCATCGTCGCCGGAAGAATTTCCGGCGAGCTTCCGGAGTATGTGATGGTCTACGACGTCAGAAGGGAGGAGATACCGCCTTCTAGACTTCCCTACGTACACCGGGTGTAGGGTGGTCGTAGAGGAGGTATCCGAGGAGATGTCCGAGCCTAACGAGCTCGATGAGGTGGCTTCGGAATTTGATGCTGATAACGTGTTGTTTGTACGTATGGTTTTACCAAATGAAAGTTTCTTCATTAGCTTTGTTAGCTTTCCTCTTGCCATTTTTATTTTTTTGGTTTATGAGTTTTTTTTACAAAAAAAATAAGGTTTAGGAAAATAGGTATTTTTTTGTAAGAGAGAAGATGTGATGGTGAGAATTATGAGGAGTTTTTGGAGTATTTATAGGACAAGAATTGAGGGTTTAGTTTTGTAGTTATTTGATGGAAATATAAATAATTGTATTGGATCAAGTGATAAATAGAATAATAATAATACTAATACTAATACTAAGAAAAAAATATTAATTTAGATTATGGGTTTTATGTGGTGACAAACATTTAAAAAATATAGAAGAAAACAAAGTTTGAATTATTGTGATGAAAATTGTGGGAACATTGTTGTTCCTTGAGTCGTTTTACTTCGGATGGAAGATTTTGGCTACATTGTTGCAATTTATTTTCTTCAAAGAATAATGTCATTATTATAATAATTTTTATTGTCTGATTGTCTACATTTGAAATTAATTCCTTTGTATCTTAAATTAATATTGCAACAGTTGTAGTACTTCCTATTACTTTTTCTAAGCATTAAAATTTTTAATACTTTTACTCTAGAAATATAATTTAAAAAGTTGATATATCGAAAAAAAAAAAACAGTTACACTAATACAACAATAACATATTAACTTTCGTTTTATTAAGTTCTTATAAAGTATTTTGATTATAAAGTGATCCCATGACTTATTACAAAATGGTACGATTTAGGATAATGTGAGTATGATGATAACTATTGCAATGGATGAAATTTCATACGAGTAACTCATTGTTAGAATATGTCTTAAATCGATTTTCCCACTAGGTCACTAACCAAGTCACTATCTATGTATTACTCCATATAACCTAGTATGTAGTTATGTAATATAAATTGTTTTTTATTGTTTGTTCTTGAATAAGCTTTCTTAACATTACTAGCTAACTCTTATACTTTCTAAAATGAGATGGATAGATTGTTGTCGCAAACAAACAAAACAGATGTGTAATTCGGGGGTTAAGGGAGTCAATTTGCATGTGGATGTATTAGTAATGTTATTAAGTTGACTAATTAATTTTGATTAGTCAATATTAGACAAAATTAGCGCCGATTATTATTCGTTCTAACTATAATTGGTGGAATATGAAATGTATCTGATCTTCACATTATATATACTGCTTCCTTAATTAATCTTATGTATAATATGATTAGGAGCACTTATAAGTTATAAACTCGATATGGTGTTATACTTTGGATAAAGTTGATGCTATTTAAATTGCACATGCATGTCACTTTCAACAACAATTCTATAATCAAATACGTACAAACAAAACGCAAGTATTTTATTTTTTGAATTCATGGATACACTACGTATATATGTTGAATTGTTTCTTGGGTATATATATACTTAGTTAGTTAGTAAGCTAAGCTAGCTAAGGTGTATATGTTGTTAAGTATGAAATTGAATCGAAAATCAATACAAGATTTAAGAACTTAGACAATTCTAATCAATGACTATGATTCAAATTAAATTACTAGGGACAATGTAGTTTTACTAAATGAAAGGTTTTGTATGTAACATTTTAGAAACCTACAATATAGATGATTCGAATATTTTAGAATTTAACAAGGTATCAGAGCGATTATCATATCAGAGCAAACTAAAATTTTGGGATTTGTCTATAAATCTATGATTAATCAAGTTATCAAGAGAAGTTTTATAATGATTTTGACCTAGATGCATAATATAGAAGTTGAGGGTATGTTCTCAATCTATTCTCCAACTTATACAAGATCGACTCCTTCTATTTTGGTTGGCTATTTACAATGTGTATCTTAGTCAGTGTTTTTGTTGAGATTTTTTTTACTAGGTACATGTGCAATTGTGCATTTATGAGATATATCTTTCGCGAATAAGACAATCTTAAATGGGTAATGAGGAAGTTGGCGGGGTAATTAAAACCTGTTGCACAAAATAAAGTTAGTAGGGTAATCATCCTATTCAAACCTTATATGTAATATTGTCTCGAACTCTTTTCATACTCTCCTACCTCTCCTTAATTTATGTTGGTAACTTGGTACATTAATATAAGAAAAGCAAATTGATGACCAAATTGTATAATGGTATATGTAGTTATAAACATGCAATGTTAATTAGATTCGGTGCATTGACAAATACTTGGTATTACAATACTACCTTATTGTTGACGCTATACGCTTGGCTTTTAAAACTCAAGCTGTCATGGATTCATGGGTGAAGAAAACGAACACACGATAAGATATGAGGACATAATTACCTTAGAGCACATGCACATGACTATCCCATTCCTTCAAACAAGTTGATCATAATTCATAAATACTTGTACAGTGGCGGCGCAATTGAGATGATTACGTATTTCATATACAACAGGATTAATCACCCTAAAGTATGAGTGATATGTACGTATACTTCACAAGTTTATAGTTCATAGTAAGGTAATTATACTTCATATTAAAAGTTGACTTTGATTGCAATGATCATAATGTATAATGAATTTAAGGTAACTAAGCTATTGATTATCGAACGAAAGTAGATACAATAAATGTAAGACCTATTTTAACGACGAGTGAAACTAGAAAGAAAATTCTTTTAGACAAAAAGAACATTGTCACATTCCGTTCGATAGAAACATAAAACAGTATAATTAGAGTGTTGGATGAAGTGCTCCATACCTTCCCATGTGAAACATTAATGCTTCAAGTTTAAAGTTAAGCCTAATAAGGTTAAGTCAAATTGGTTGGTACAAAGATAATAAGCTAGGTGCAATGTACAATTTGTTCTAAATTTTAGGCCTTTTTTGTTGCAATTGCGTAGTAGTTATTAATAACATAATCGATCTTGTAATGTTTTTTATTTTTTATATTTTCTTTTTTCAGACAACAATGCATTTAGTTAAAGGTAATGGTAATGGTATGGTACATAAGATTATAAGAGTAGTGTAAGATAAGCATGGATCAAAGTACTATATAATCATGAAATTAAAATTGTACTTAGTATATAATATTATAATTAGTTTGTATCAATAAAAATAATTTATCAATCAAAGTTTGTAAAAAAAAAAAAAAAAAGCCCTAATTTTTTTTGAAATTGTGAACTTTGTATGAAGTGAGTACACTCTTTCACCTAGCTAATCAAGTTCTTGTTTGTATACATCTATTTTGAACACTACTATATATCCACCATTCTTTTTATACATGAAAATCAACCATCAATTTAAGTCTGCTCATTATTGAGACTTAAATCATGCTTATATTCAACAGCAACAGCCAAAGATCTACAAATATATCAAAAAATACTCAGCTTGATGCTTATTAACTGAATGATTAGTTGACAAAGAGAATCAAATTAAGGTCTTCTTAAGAAAATCTGGTATAATATATGGTAGCTGCCTTCCATAATTTTATCACCGTTGTCTTATTACCATGCATATAAAATCTGATTGTCTGTACTCAGTGATCTTGTTAAAGATTTATTTAAATCCATTATTAGTCCCTATATTGTTCACCTTATTTCCTCTTATACTTCATTGTTTAGGAAATTAAAAAATAATAATAATAAAAGTTTAGATATGGATTAAGAAATTTAGATTTGATAAAGTTTGAAAAATAATGTCTAAACCTGAATTTATCTGAACTTATCATAACTTATTAAAACTTATTTTAGTTGTAATTTGAACTTGGACAACCCTTGTCTGAACTTCTTTTTCCAAAATTGAGCTACTCTTAACTTATTTTTCCTGAACTGAACTTATCTGAACTTCACTTAACTTAACTTAATTTATCTAAACTACGGAAATAATTGAAAGTAAGATGAATAGGACATGCCCTAAGTGAAAATCAAGTAAATAGAATTAGGGTTGACAATCCTTGACTTGACCTGAAGTCCTGAACTTGACCAAGTAACTGAGAGAATCCCAAACCAAACCTGAACTAAATCTGACCCGAATAACCCGAATTCAACCCTATAAGACCCAAATATCATATTTCCTAATAAATTAAGTTCACAGTTTTTGATAATTTTTAAGCACAACCTGAAATTTGACTTGAATCTGAATTGTTGACCCGAATTGTCACCCTAATTATCCAATTGAAGAACGGAGGGAGTAGTAAAAAAATGTCATACCAAAATAGCTATATTAGGATAAAAAATTTAGGATGTTTGTAAACTTTAGTGCTAACTATCATTCCTTTGTATATTTGATCTCCTCTTTAGATTGCATAAAATGTATTGGTATATATGTATACACTTCTACAGTTAAGAGAATTTATTTTCTACCACACCACTAAATGCTCAAACTGGATTGAGAATCCAAAAAATAGTTGTTGCGGCAGGCTTCTATTGAAAATGTCTACAAACTAATATCGAGAAGGGGTATGAAGAGCTAGTTTAGGTATTTCTCAACTATGTTTCAAAAAAAAAAAGTATTTCTTAACTAACTAATGCCACATAAAATTTTTAGGAATAAAATGTATATTTATCTCTACATGTTTGGTGCGTTAATGCTGAGCCAGATTATGAGAAAGGTAAATTGTGCATATATTAATGTTATACAATAAATTAGAGTAGCCTGATGAAAAAAGACAATGTAATCGATCTAGAAGAAGATTATGGATACAAGATGCCTCGATGACAACTTTAACATACATGACTTTTACATCCCGTGCCTTTTATCAGGAAATCGAAAGAGTAGTACGTCTTGACCATTAACCAATTGGTTGAATAATTTCCTCTTGATCGAATAATGTACAAAAATCCACACTAAGCAGTATCAGTATAAGTCATGACCATCAATCACGACGAAGTAGAAGAATAATGGTATAGGCCAGAATTTATAGTAGTGGTACCCTAAATATAGCATAAATTACTTCAATATTATACATTGAATGAGACTCCCTAGCTTAGGATCATCCTAATCTCTTGTTGGATTTATATTATCCATTTTCCTTCTATTTTTGTGTTAATATTATTTTATTAATCCTTTTAGAAGTATATTTCTTCCTTTTGAGGAATAATAATCGGATAATAAATCTATTGGCTAGGAAAGTTTGGGACAAAATCTTTAAAACCACAGAAATATATTCCCGTGGCTAATAATTATAAGTGCATGCGCTGCATGGTCAACCTGCAACCCTACAGTATTTCCCACTAATTGTATCAATAAATTCATCTATCTTACCCTGCAAATAAAGTATGGTCGGAAATTTTAGAACTTCCAAAATTAATACCAACAAAATACTATTTGATCATATAGTGTAGACATTCAACATGATCTGATTACATAAGTATTTCTCTTCATATAATATAGGAAAATTTACAAATTGCAGCCATTTAAAGTTCGTATTTTGCAAATTGCAGCCATTAATTTAATTTTTTTTTTTTTGCAAATTGCAGCCCAAAAATTCGTATAAATTGTAAATTGCAGCCCGATTCAATTTTTTCATCGGTTTACATGTTGAAAAATCTTCGGTTAAGGTTTTAGGGGTCATTTTAGCCCTTAGGGGCTCGGAATTAGCAAAAAAATAACGTAAGTGTCTCATATTTACAGTTTCCCACAAATCGATACACTTTTGTTACACAAAATGAGATACTTGCGTTATTTTTTTGCTGATTCCGAGCTCAATTCGGTCCCCTAAGAACTAAAATGGCTCCTAAAAACTTAATCGAAGATTTTTCAACTTGTAAACTGATGAAAAAGTTGAATCGGGCTGCAATTTACAATTTATATGAATTTTTGGGCTGCAATTTGCAAAAAAAAAATTAAATGGCTGCAATTTGCAAAATACGAACTTTAAATGACTGCAATTTGCAAATTTTCCTATAATATATATGTGTCAGAAATTTCAACAATATTCATGCAGGGAACAAATTATTTGTTTAGAATTTTAGATTACTCAATAATCATTAATCGGGTGGAAGATGGATCATTTGAATCGTGCTTAATTAGGATTATTGAGTACAGTGGGCTAGATCGTTAATATCGAAGTAGTTCATAATCAACTTCGAGTATACACACTTTAATTTAAGCTAAAAGCCATACAAGTTGATCGATTTTGCCATATCTATCTTATAGTTGTACTACGTATGATTTTTATGTCATCATATATGCATACTAATTAAATTTTAAAAATAATTTATGAAATTATAATGATCAAAGATTCATAAATACAAGTTATGCTAATGTGTTAGGGGACTCGTATTATGATGGATGATACGAGATCAACAAACAAAGTAATGCAATTTTGTTTTTGCTACAATATGGTTTTATATATAAGCATTGAACACATTAATATATATGTGAAAAATAAAATTGATCATTTATACATACATTGCATGTGCTTCCCAAAATCAGTGTCTAAAACTTGGAATCTTTTGAACTATTGACGAGATCTTTAAAAGTCGTTAAGCACATGCATTAGCTCCATCAATTAAAGTTTATTTAACATCAAATGCCTTAATTTTGTCACTATCTATTCAAAGTTCCATGCAATAAACATAGTGATTAAACGCTATTTAAATTTTAACTAGTGGTCCTGATCTTGTTTATGTCATTCGTACCATATCTTAGAATATAAAGAGGTAAAAGAGCCATTGAATTTATAATGGAACATTGATTAACAAGCTTAGTTTATATTAATCTAAGATTTATGTTTAACATATTTGTTCCAAATTATAACTGTATTTGCCAAGAATTGGATAGTGGAGGCCTTTGCTAGTTTTTTTTTTAAATTTTTTTTTTTTTTTTTATTTTACTTTTTTTTTATTTTTTTTTTCCTTAGAAAATTAATTAAATTTTGTATGAAAATGCCAATAGTCAACCTTCACTTGTCGAGATTTGAGAATAACTATCATTTAGCTGGTTTTTTTTTTAATACCTTATTTCAAAATATTGTTTGATATGACTACCACTATTTAACCATGAATTGAAACCCATAATAAAAAAATCGTTTGTAGGTTGTGTAAATCTTGAATAATTACCATCACCTTCCAATCTTGCATTATTATATTGTATGCAAATTGAAACAAAAGGGTTGAGATTGAATTTAAAGTTGTTTCAATCAACAAGGAGTTAATATCATTAAAATTAGTGATTTAGGTTTTAAGTATATGAATTTCTAGTTCAATTAGGGTTTTGTCGCCTTTGTGAATTTAGTTAATTGGGTAGAGTTGATGACAGACAAAAATCAAATAACTAATGCATTGATTGAGGACATTGGTGATATCTATAGTTTAAGAAATAATCCAAGGACAAATCAAAAACAAAAGCTAGCTTAGTTATTAAATAAAAGGAGGGATGAGAGTAACACGTTCAAATTAGTAGAGATGTAGAGTGTAGTGGTAGATATTTACTCACAAAATAAGTACCTACAAAGAGAATTAACCATTATATTGAAATTAGAAGGTGATTAAGGAGACTTTTTAGAGTTATTTTATTGGTTCATTAAAATTTTTTTAAAAATTTTTTTAATAGGTTGGGTTTTTTCTTTAATATATCAGAAGTATACCAACATTCTTGAGAAATAATAATATTTTAATTTCGATTATTTGCCACATTTGACCAATAAGACTTTTAGTCATATGAAACAGGTAAATTAAGATGAGACGGAGAAATAAAGTAATAATAATGCTCATATATTGTTGCACAAATCATTAATTAATAACAAAAGTATAAATTATTTAATTTGAATAATCCATATACAAAATGCCCCATAAAATAAAAAGAAATCCCCCCCCCCCTTTTTTCTTTTTTGAGGGAAACTTTATTGGGATTAATGTATAATAATCCTCATATAAGCCATTCCCATTCTAATACTACTCAATATTTAGGTGTAGTTCCTAAACTACCCTACTAATACTATACACTGCAATACAATAGGCCCAAAATACTGAGCCCATGATTGCAAAGCCCAAACCATAGGCCCATTTTAATTGTAGTAAAAATTCCAATATTTTTAACAAGCATAAAAATCCACAAATTCATCCAAAGACTCAGGCATAGGGTCAGCATTCTCCAACATCCATAACAAGTGTTCAAACATCACCACTTCACACCCTTCCACCGTGATCTCATCATCGCCGGCAGATTTTCCGGCGAGTTGTTGTAGAATAGGGTGGTCAACAACGTCGGAAGCAAGGAGGTACCGCCTCCTAGACTTCCCTACGTACACTGGGTGTAGGGTGGTGGAGGAAGTGTCCGAGGAGTCGGAGATGGACATGTCCGAGCCTAACGAGCTCGATGAGGCGGCTACCGAGTTTGATGATGATAGGGTGCTACTTGTACGATTGGTTTTACCAAAAGAAATCTTCTTCATTAGGTTTTTAAGCTTTCCTCCTTTAGCCATTTTTTTTTTTTTTTTTGGATTATGAGTTGTTTTATTTTGATTAAGGCTTAGAAAAGTAGGGTTTTTTTTTAAAAAAAAGTTATTTTGTAGTAAGAGAGAAGATGTGATGGTGAGAATTGTGAGGAGGTTTTGAAGTATTTATAGAAAAAGGGTTGAGAGTTTAGTTTTGTTGTTATTCAAAATTATAAATTATTGTGTTGGATCAAGAGCATAATATATTAAAGATTATGGTTTTGAGAGGACAAAATATACAAGTAATACAAAGTATTAATAATGATACTAATACTATGTAATAATATTAAAGATTATGGTTTTGAGAAGACAAAATATTATTAGCCATGAAGAAAAAAACACAGAGTGGATTATTGTAAGGAAAATTGTGGGACATTGTTGTTCCTTGAATTGTTATTTTACTTCAGATGGAAGATTTTGGCTGCATCGTTGCATATTATTTTCTCCAAATATTACTTTCATAAATCATAATTTTAACAATTATTATAATTATTCAATTGGTTATTATATATCGGGGTATATTATTTAGGGATGTTCGAAAAAATTACGTTATATAAACTATACTGTTTTATATCGGCTATGATGTATACTACAGTACTATACTCCGTAATAAAATGTTAAGTACAATGTGTTTCAGTGTTTGGCTTCTAATTGTAATACTACTCCCGTTTCATATTATTTGCAACAACTAGATATTTTTTCTCTTTACTTTATGTCAAATCGTTGTAAATAATATGAAACGGAGGTAGTATATATTTCTTAAAATAAGAAAGATAAAAGGTCACAAACAAACAAAACAGTGTTATGTGTCTTTCAGGGGCTAGGGGGAGTCAGTGTTAAATGTGGCTACTATGTTATTAATTAGACTAATTAATTATAATTAGTCAATCTTAGACAAAATTAGCGGCGATTATTCGATCTAACTATAATTGGCAGAATATGAAATGTATCTGATCTCAACAATATGGAGTTCTGCCTTAATTAATCTTAGACGTATTCACGCATATACAATTATATAATTCTGATTAGGAGCACATATAATCTTGATTATTGTTGAATCACTTGAATATAAACTTTGGATAAATTTGATGCTATTTATATTTCTCATGCACATGCATGTCACTTTCAACGACCATTTTATAATCAAATGCGTTCGATAATGTGTCTATATTTGATTATTTAAGAATTTCTGCCTAATTGCCGTCTAAAGCTTACAACTGAACTATGGCAATTGTTAGTCGAAACGAACATTATGGCAATTGTTAATCGAAACGAACACTATATGAGGGGGGTGAATTGTAGGTGAGTTGCTAGTGACTACTTTTGCAAATTATAAACAGAACATAAAAGGAAGCAAAGCACACAAGATTTTACGAGGAAATCTTCCAGGGCACAAGTGGAAGTAAAACCTCGACCCTTCTAAGGGATTTCAACACAAAAACCAATCCACTATAATAGGGCAAACACCAAGTTACAAACCTATTATAAGACAGACCTTTGCTCACAAGTTCCAAGTAGAACTTACAACACAGTAGGACTTTATCCTACCCAATTCAAGTCCCCTGACTTAAATTCACTTGTACCCTCACAGTCCAATCACGGCCTTTGAACACAAAACTGTCTCACTTGTATGCAATATAGATTTCATACACTCACACCCAATAACCCAACCAATTACAAAAAATATAACACCTAGAATATGTTAGGCAAGCAATGCACAAAATCCGAAACTAATGTGACAAGATAAAGCTTGGCAAACTTACACGAATTAAGCTCTAAGATTTCTTCACGCATAAACTCACAAACACCTAATGAAATGAGATCTCTACTATTTATACAAATATAACTTGTATAGCAAGTAGATTTTCTAAAAGATAAAGATGTTAACTTGCCTTATCTCAAAAACATAGTTTTTGTAAATCAAATTTGAGAAAATCCTTTTCGGAAAAATAAAGAAAGATATATTTAAAAAGAATAATATCTTTTTAACAAAACTGATTTTAAGAAACAAATTTAAATAAAATCTTTTTCTAAAATCTATCTTTTTATCTTTTCCAATTTTATCATATTTGCCAATTTTATCTTGTCACGCTTCTAATAGATTTCATGCATATCTACTTAACATATTTAACAATAAATCTAGAAGATAAAATCTTAACTAAATTGGAATTGTTGTGCTGCGTTTAATTTCTGTAAACTTGAATTACTTGGGCTTCACGCAGACTAGAAACAAGTTCCTACTGTCACTCGATCTCCAGTCCTCAACTGGAACTTCGCAGTCCAATTAAGTTCCTTATGGAACCTACTGTCTTCAGCTTACATCTTCCAAGTTCCTGTTAGGGAACATTCCTGTTAAGAAGAGTAGTTCTTGTTAGAGAACTCTTCTTCTATATTGTTTGACTTTTCATTAAAGGTCTCTTCATGTCTTTATAGTTCAAGATACTCTTCCACCTCCAAGATCAACTTCACCTGTACTAGTCAAACACTTATAAACCTTTATTTATTGCGTTTTGCAAAACAAGGGATAGGCTTCGGGAGAGAAAAAATGAATTAAACAAGACAAAGCTATACAATGTAAATGTTTTTTTTTTTTTGATAAAATACAATGTAAATATTTAGTGCAAAACTAGTAAGTAGCCCGGGCGTTACCCCGGGTATGGTCTACTGGTGTAGACATGCAATCAATAAATTTTTGTAAAGACTCACTAGTACAAAAACCTTCATTTGCGTCGCTCATTTAGGCTGTATTTGCGTCACTTCTATGAGCGACGCAACTTCTCGCGACGCAAATGACTCAAAAGTCATTTGCGTCACTCATTGGAGCGAAGCAAATAAGAGTTATTTGCGTCACTCGTTTGTTAAATGAGCGACGCAAATGACTTTTTTTGTAACTTATATTTGTTATGTGCGTCACTTCTTTAATAAACGAGTGACGCAAATGACTCTTTTTAATAACATATATTCTTATATTTGCATCACTTATTTAATAAACGAGTGACGCAAATGACTAGTTTGAGGAAGAGAAAATGAGCTATTTGTGTCGCTTCTTTCTTAAAGAGTGATTGACAAATTTTTTAATCCACACATTAAAGTAACATTATAATTTGCCAACTATATCCCTTCATATAATACAATATTGAAAGACAAAAAAATAAAATCATAATAAAAATAATAAGATCAAATAAAAATTTCGACATAATTTCCTTTGTATTTTAGCCTACCCATTAATTTGGGAATGACGGCGCCTTGTATTAGCAACCTGTCAAATAAGTTTACAACAAAACAATATTGACATCTTCATCATTAATAAGTATAACACAAGCACCAGACCAACCCAAATTTTGGTAAACCAAATGCGTTCATTTCAAGCCTAAGAACTATAACAAAATTGTAACACCCCAATAATTCTCCCTTTTCCAAATCACTTACTTTAAATAAAAATAGAGGAGAACCATTGGCATGTTACCGCCACGTGTTAAAACGTTAAGGCTTTATCAAAGTATTGCAGCGGAAATCCAACTTAAATCTTAAAATATATAATTTAGAAAACCAATAAGTCAAAGCTTACAAATTGGAACCATAAAGGCCCTTATTTAAAACCAAACCAATAATCAAAGTCCCAAAACATAATTAAAGTAGTAAAACATAAATAAGTTCAACACAAAGAACGAATACTCTCAATCACACCAATCCCTTGACAATGCGTATGTCAAATCCCCGAACTTCACATCATCAAGCTAACCTGTGCATAAACATGGGCACGGGTCGTGCCCGTGCCGGGGTGGGGGCCGTGTCGTGCCGGCTCCGCGGCGGACCGTGCCGTGCCGTGCCTGAATTTGGCACACCCCAGCCCACGGCACGGCCCACGTGCCTTGCGGGCCGTGTCGTGCCGGGTCGCGGGCCAAACCGTGCCAGCCTTTTTTTTTTTAATAAATGAAAAAAAAACGAATTAAACAATATATATATTTTTTTTAGTACAACTTAATATATGTGATTAATTTATGTTTATGTTAAATGTTAATGTTAATATATTTTGTTTTCATTTTTTGAACAACTTTATTTTAATTTAGGTTATATAAATTATTTATCTAATTAATAATTATGTTTAAGTTTATTTAAACAAATAAAAACAATTTTATTAATTTAGCAAAAAACAACAATGCATATAATTAAAAAAAATACGAGTGCGATAATCCGAAAACACAAAAAATTGAAGAATAAGTTATTTTATTATATGACGGTAGCCGATACGAATGTACGATAATTCAATAATACAAAATAAGTAATGATAATTAAAAATCGTACAATAGTGTATGAATATTGAATAACTTCATTTATTATACGGAATACGAAGTTCGATAATACAAAAAGAATACAATAGTGTATAATGTAAATATGTAATCATGTAATTATTATTGGTCGTCTTCGTCTTCGCCTTCGTCTTCATCTTCGTCTTCGTCTTCTAGAGGTTCAAGTTCATCCGCCAATTGAGTTGATTGAGAAGTATGAGAACTAAAAGAAGTCGACGTTCCTTCATCGTCGTCGTTTTGTGCATAAGTACGATCTTGAGAACGAGTTTCGGCATCCAACCAATCCTTGAAGCAACACACATTTCAAGTGTTTCGGGTTTTAGTCTTGTTCTTCTATCGTCTAAAACTCGTCCCGACGCACTAAAAGCTCTTTTGGAGGCAACGGAGGAGACTTGGATTGCAAAAATATCACGAGCCATTGCCGACAAAATTGGATGTTTCACGGTTTGTGATTTCCACCAATCGAGGATGTCGAGGCCAAACTTCTCTTCATCGTCCATGCCTTTCATGAAGTCGTAACTTAAGTACATTTGCAACTCCGAAACATCGCTTTGTGTTCTCTTACTTGATGATGATTCCGTACTTGAAAACTTGGACATCATGTTAGCAGCTTGTGCAAATAAACCTTTGGCCCGTTTACTTACATTTTTGGATGTTTGAGAAGGGGAAAATCGAGAC